ATATATATATATATACATATATCCCAGCTTCTTTATAAATATTCTAAAGTGTAATATACATTTAGTTAGCTATTTAGCTGGTGATCCATCCATCACTGAGGACAGTTAGCTAAGATTTCTAAACTTTGTGATTTTTTTTTTCTTTTTCAATCGACAGAATCCTGATTGTAAACCGTGAAAATGTCTTTTAACCAAAGTCGACAGAGTAAAAATCTGCCGACTGTTGCCATCGGGGTCGTAACAGGGCGACAGGTAATCGGCCCGCTGCTCGCAGTGTGAACGCCCGTTTAGGTTATGCATATACTTTAAAAGTGCAGATTAAAAAGTTTTCTTTTTGGTGTTCAAGTGCATACATTTGTTCTCACATTTATGGCTTTTTTTAGTAACAAACTAGTATAAATGCAGAGGACGGTTTGGTTCCTATAGTCTCTTGGTGTGTTTGGAGTTATAGTGGCTCCTCATGTCTTTACGGAGGCGGAACTTCTCTCCACAGACGCCGCAGATGTACAGGTGGACGTCCATGTGTTTCTCCAGCTGTTCTCCACTGGGGAAGATCTGGAAACACACCTGGCAGATGGTTTCCCCGGCCGACAGGTGGGAGATCATGTGTCGGACGTGGTCGTGTTTGAGGAAGGTTCCTTGGTCACACACCGGGCACACGTAGCGCGCCATGCCTTTGTGCATGTCGGTGTGCAGCCTGAGCTGGCGCTCCCGTAGGAACTGCTTCCCGCAGGTCTGGCAGGTGAACTGCTTCTCCTTGGTGTGGACGGTGTAGTGCTCCCGCAGGTGGCAGCGCTGATAGAAGCCTTTGCCGCAAATGCTGCAGAAGTGTTTGCGCCGGTGATCCGGTTCAGTGCCCTCCTCCAGCAGCACCGGGCGGAACAGCTCCTGGTCGTGGCAGGACAAGGCGTGCTCCAGGGCCAGGCTCTCGTTCTGGAACAGCAGACCGCAGTGAGAGCAGGCCAGGTCGGCCGCCTCCAGCAGGCCCTCCTCCATCCCCTGTGGCTCCTCCAGCAGGGACGCCTCGTCCTCCCCATGGGAGTCAGACTCACCACCTTGGGATTCGCCGCAGCGCTCTGCGTGCTCCTGGAGCTGGCGGCCTTTGATCAGCACCTGGCCACACCTCCCACAGGCACATATATGGCCCATGTGGTTGGACAGGTAGTGGGCCGACTTGTCCTCCTCGGTTAACAGAGCCCCACACAGTTCACAGGGGGCACAATCGGCGTCCTGCTTCTCGTCTTTGACCTTACGGAGCTTCACAGGGATTCCTGAATCTTCACTGCTGGACATGTGGCCTTCGAAAGGCTCACTGCTGTTATCCATTCCTGAGACACCGGGTTCTGGTTCACGGTCTGATCCAGTTTTCTCCCTCCGTAAATCTTTATGCGTGGTGTCACTGAACCGTGTGCTACAGTCTCTGTTGGCGTGCTCACCGACCCGGACCACCTCTATCTCAGGGAATATTCCTTCTTCTGGTTCTGTCTTGATGGAGATGCTCCTAGTCGACCCAGGCTCGCCGTCTGTCCCGGCCGCCACCGACCTGATGGTGAGGTCAGAGTCGGCCTTTGCCTCGGGCCAGTCGTCCTCACCTTTACAGATGACCCTGTGTTCCTCTATGCTCTCAGAGGCAGAGCTCTCAGCCTTACTGGAGTCATTGTCCCCTTCGGCGTTACCTCTCGGTTGATGAAAGGCCTTCCGGTTGGTGCATGTCAGGATGTGTTCTATTAAAAGCTTCTCACAGCTAAAGACGAAGCCGCAGTCGTCGCAGGTGTAGGTGCGGCCAAACCGAGGACGGTCTTTGAGAGTTGAACTCCTGCCACTGGACCTCTTTCTTAAATCACATGGCTGCTCGACTCCTCCGTCTACCACTGGCGGTGCCACTATCAGAGGAGTGTTGACCACCTCCTCCACCACCACCGGTCTGCTGACGGTTGCAGGAACAGCTGGACGCCCCGCGGAGCTGCTGACAGGTTTCGGTAAGCGCTCTGCTTCCGGTGCAGCGGGCCTTTGCTGCTCGTACATGCGGACTCCAAACATCATTTTCCCAGCGGCGGGGCCAGTGGAGGAACTGGACGAGGAGGAGGACGCTGAGGAGGACGGGGTGAGATTGGAGCTCCTGATGTCCCTGAGATCCTCCAGCGAGTCAGGGATGTAGTACATCTGCAGGTACGCCATGGAGGCCTTGAGCTCTTCAAACTCGTAGCTGCCCACGACGATGCGTCCGAGGTACATGAGCTGCAGGATGAGGTCGAAGCACTCCGCACTGATCTGCATGTTGCTGAGGTCCAGACGACCCGCCCCCTGCTGGTCCCGGATAAACATCATCCTGAAGTAGGAGCTGCAGGCCGCCAGCACCGCCTTGTGCGCCCTGAAGTAGATGTCCCCGATGGCGATGAGGCAGTCACACAGGAAGCCCCACTCCCGCTGGTTGTTGAGCTGCTGGAGGACATGATCGCTGTGGCTCGGCCTCGCCATCGCCCTGCAGACAACAGAGGAAGAGAGGAGACAGTAAACGGTGAGGTTGTCTGGTTGAGCTCAGTCAGAACCAGCTCTCAGTTCTACTATGACTCAACAACGGCAGACGAGAATAATTAAGACATCAGTCATTTAGACCCTGTTTCATCAGACATAAGGAAACTGTCTCAGACACTCAACTCTCTATACTAATATATTATATATTAGACTATATATTATATAAAATATATATA